GAGGCCATGGGCGGCTGCGCGAGACCCCGTGGCGGCGCTGGTGCTCACCTTAAGGCGCGTCGTCTGGCGGCTCACGCAGGACGGCCTCGCCGTCGAGGTCGATCTGGGCGCGGAGTTCGACGCGCGGCGCTGGTCGCCCGCCTTCCTGGCGGAGCGCGCTCGCGAAGCGACCGGGAGGGCGGCCGCCGTGGAGGAGTGCCGCGCGCGTGCCGAGGCGCTCTGGCCGCGGCGGCTGCATCCGGCGCGGGCGCCAGTCAACGCGCTGCTGGGCACGAGAGCCACGGAGATCTGGACCCGCCACCACAAAGGCTGCCCGCGCTGGCTAGCGTCGCTGCCCCACTGGCCCCAGGCCAGGCTCGCCAGGCACAAGTCTGACATGGGCCCCGCATGCCTCCTGCGCCAGGGGGGGGCAGGGGCGATGTTCCACCGACGCTTCGAATGCCCGGCCCGGCATGCATGGGGGCGAGATCGTCTCCCAGCAGACCTGCTGCAGGGAGCCAGCGCCGCGCGCGACCTCGGGGAAAAGTTTGGCGAGCTGTTCGCCCGGGGTGTCCTCGTCGACGCGGCGCCCGCGTTGAAGAGACCGCGCTGGTAGCCTCGCTGGGAGCGACGGCAGATCGGGCGGGAGAGCCCCGCGGCGGTGCCGCCTGGCACGCAGGTCTACACGGGCGGCTCCTGCATCAACGGCCGCTTCCCCGCCCTCCGCAGCGCGGGCTGGTCAGTCATCGCGATGTCTCGGGGGGGCCAGATCACGGCGCAGGCCCGGGGCGCGGTCCCGCCGCGCGAGATGCAAATTCAGACAGCGCGGGCAGGCAAGGGCTATTCGGCAGTAGTTGCGTTGAAGAAAATAATCGGGGCCTGCGAGATTCTCAGCGACTGCGCGGGCGCCATGGACTTCATCGGTCACCTGCAGCGGGCTCAGGGGCCGACCTCACTTCACGCCCATCTGCGGGCGCGGGTCGGCGACGAGATCGTCGATGGTGGTCGCGGCGAGGCGCGTCCCTGCCCGCGCTTCAGAGGGGGCGGTCAGGCGCGGCGAGATCTCTGCGAGGGGGCGAGACGGGAACCGCCGGGCCGACCAGAGGGCCGAGCTCGGAGCAGGACTCCACGCTGTGGATGACGGAGATATGCTGCTACTGGGCCTCGCGGCCCGAGCCCGAGATGCGGCCGGGCATGCGGCGGAGATCGAGGCCCGCATCGCCAACCATGGGGCCGGGGGCAGCCGGCCGACGGCGGCGCCCGAGGACCTCGACCTCGGCGCGCCCGAGTGGGGGGCCAGAGAGATCAGCGCGGCGGCAGGGGGGCCCCCGGGCTCGACGGCAGCGGCAGCGCGGATGGCGTCGGCCGCGGCGGCGGCCTCGAGCGCGGTGGAGCGCGGGGGCGCCCCGCCCGCGCGGAAGCGGCCTGCGGCGGCGGCGGCGGGCGCCGGCGGCCAGCAGTCCTGCCGCCGCGACGCCAGCAGCTGATAGGCAGGTGGCGCGACGGACCCAGGCTCCACCAGCGGCCTGCGGCAGCGTGGTCCTCGGACGGCCGCCGCCGCCTGGAGCGGGCCCTTGGCAGGTCCGAGGGCACCAGTTGATGATGGGGCACGTGGAGGGCGAAGCCGGTGAGTTCCTAGCATGCACCACGTGCTTCATGTACGCGCGGACGCCCAAGATGCGCCGGCGTGGGCTCCGCAAAGAGTGCGCGGGAGCCGCCGCCAGCCGAGCCCGCAAAGGCTTGAGGGCGCAGGCGCGCAACGACCTCGAGCGCGGCCTGCTGCCAAGGCCACAGCTGAAGAAGGCCTGCGGAGCGCTCGCGCCGCCGACTGCCGAGATGCAGAGCCGCTGGGCGCGAGCGCAGCCGCAAGCGCCCGCGCGGCGCAGGACGGCGAGGGCGAGCGGCCAGCCAGGCGCCGGAGGACGTCCACGGCGGCCGCAGGCGGGAGCTCGGGCGCCAGCGCTGC